GGGGGGGGGGGGGGTAACGGCGCGCGGGCGGCGTGGGGCGGGGCGCGGCGCCGCCCTCGGGCGCGCCTCGGCAGCGAGCCATGAAGAGAGCAGCAGCAGCCCAAAGTGACAGTTGTCATCCGAGGAGAAGGCGAGCGCAAATGCGCCGAAGAAGCGCTCCGCAAACGTGCGCGCAAAGGCCCCCGCCTCGTCGGCGTCGCCCTCCGCGCCGGCTCCGCCGCCGCCGCCGGCTCCGCCGCCGCCGCCGTCGCCGCCGCCGCTCGAGGCGGCTGCCGCCGAGGGAGAGAGGGTGCAGGACGCGGCGGGCGCGGCAGCTGCGGCCGGCGACGGCACCGCCGCCGCGGGCGGGGCGGCGGGCCCCATCGCCTGCCTCAGCTCGCGCGCGCCCGCGCGCGGCGGCGTGGTACGCGCGAAGAGGTCGAGGAGTCGCTCGGCGAGGGCAGAGCCGCACCGCTCGAGGAAGGCGGCGGCGCGTGGCGCCGCGCTCGTGTCGCCGAGCATGAAGGCGAGGGTGTGGTGGAAGAGGACCGCGAGGGCGAGTCGGTTGTTGGGCGGGAGCTGGTCCGCGTACGCCTAATCTCGCGCAATCTCGGGTCCTCTCGGGCACTCTCGGGCACTCTCGGGTGTACTCTCCGGCAGCGGTCTCGGGTGTAAACTCGGCGCCTCGGCGAGCGTCTCGAGTGCAGAGAGCGCGGACTCGCGGCAGCGCTCTGAGGCGCAGTCCCCGGCCAGCCCCTTGAGCAGCACGCACGACAGAGTCTCCTCGAGCGGCACCGCCCCGGCGCCGCCCCCCGCCCTCCCGCCGCCGCCTCCCCAGCCCGCGCCCGGCCCTGCGGCCCTGCTTCCGCACGCGTGGTGGATCTGCGCCGTCTCCCGCCACAGAAGCGCCAGGCTGCTCAGCATCTCCTCCGGCGGACCTACGGGGCATGTCTCGGACATGTCCTGGACGTGTCCTCGACATGGCTCGAGCATCTCGTCTGGCGGACCGTCCGGCCCCTGCGCGGCGAGGGTCGAGAGGAGCAGACGCGCCGACGCCTCGAAGAGGTGGGCCGGCGCGGCGCGCAGCAGCGCCGCCGCCGTCTGGGCGAGCAGCAGCCACCTAAGTACGAACGACTCACTGATCACTCATCACGAACGAAGAGCCGTGTCTGGGCGAGCAGCAGCCACGTCGACGCGTCCACGCGCTCGGGCGCAAGCCGCGGAAGCTGCCGCATTAGCCGGAGCAGCAACTGCGCCTTTGCGGTGCCGCCGTCGCGCAGCGCGCCCCACAGCGCGAGGGCGAGCGCGCGCAGCAGCGCGGGCTCGACCTCATACTCAATCATCCAGCAGTGAATGAGCGAGTTCATTCACACCGCAGCAGCGCCGGCTCGACCTGCGTGTTGAGCAGCTCGAACGTGCGCAGCGACGTGAGCGACACGTCCGGGTCGATGGCGTGGATGCCCCACGAGAGGGCGAGCGCGCGCCAGTCGGCCGCCAGCGTCGGCACCACGGCGCCGAAGCGAGTGACGAGCGGCACCACCGCGCTCAGTCCGCGCGGGGTGGGCGGCCGCCGCGGCCGCCGCAGCGTGCCGCCGCCTCCGCCGCGCGCCGCCGCCGCCGCCTCCGCCTCCGTGGCGTCCGCCTCGAGGGCGGCCGCCGCGTGCGCCCCGCCGTGCGGCTCCGGCGCGAGGGAGGCGAGGAGGGCGGCGAGCAGCTCCGTGGCGTGAGAGGCGGCGCGCCCCGCCGGCGGCTGGGTGCCTAGTCCCATACCTCCAGAGTACCGAACCGAACCATCGCATGGGTTAAGGTCCGTGGGTGGTGTGGTAGGCGGCGCCTGGCTCGCCGCCGTGGAGTACGACGCACGTGTGGAGCAGCGTGGGCAGGTGGGGCGCGAGGAGGGCGGGGATCTCGTGCGGCAGCGACGGCAGCAGCTCGAAGGCAGAGAGCTCGACCTAGTCACACCTCTCGGCGCGTGAACAGCGCGTCGCCACACACCGCCCCGCCAAAGCCTTGCGGAGCAGCGCCGCGCCTCGGACGCAGGCTCCGCCGCCGCCAGCCGCGGCGCCCGCCACGCGAGCCACTGCGAGGCGGGGCCGTGCGCGGGCGGGGCGGTCGGCTCGTACGCGCGCAGCGAGCCGAGGAGCGAGCGTACCAGCGGCGGTGCCGCCGGCGTGCGCAACGCGAGAAGCAGCACGCGCACGCACAGCGCCTGCTCGGCGCGGTCGGGAGGCGACGCGGTGGCGGCGGCGACGTGCGTCTGCAGCAGCAGCGTGTGCAGGCCCGACGCGAGCAGCGCGCCGTTCCTTGGCGTCGCCAGCGCCGCCCAGTGCGCCTCCAGCAAGTAGGAGACGTGCTCTGTCTCCCCGAACGGCGCCGTCTGCAGCTCGGAGATGGCGCCGCCTCCGCCTCCCCCCCCACCGCCGCCGCCCCCCTGCGAGTGCACCGCCCGCGCCGCCAGGTAGCTCTTCCGGCAGAGCGCGAGGTGAGAGCCGAGCACCTCGGCCACCGCCGCCTCGCCCGGCCCCTCCACGCTGTCCCAGCTGCCCGTGTCCGCGGCGCAGAGCTGCGGCGCGCGCGCGCCAAAGGCCTGCACCCAGGGGAGCAGCAGCGAGAGGGCGCCCTCGCGCTCGGGCAGGGAGAGGTCGCCGAACCGGTCGACCAGCGCCCCGAGCAGCTGCGGCAGGATCGCATGCGAGTGGGCGCCGCGCGCGAGCGCCGCAGAGTACCGGAAGGCGGAGGCCGAATAGAGGAGCGGCTCGACCGGCGCCGCGCCGCCGGCGAAGGCGGCGTGCGGCGGCGCGGCGTGCGGTGCGGCGGCGAGCTCGTCGGGCGGGAGCGGGCAGATCGCGCGCGCAAGGCGGCCGCCGAGGTGTCGCATCGGCGCGTCCGCCGCCCCCTGGTGCAGCAGCGCGAGCAGCAGCAGCTGCGCCGTCACGCGGCCGTCGGCGGCGCGCGCGGCGGCCAAGCCGCCGTCGTAGCCGTCGCGCGCCGAGCCGTCGGCGCAGTCGACGATGGCGGAGAAGTAGGCGCGCGCCTTGTTGTAGTCGTTGACGCCGTGCCGGTCGGATGCTGGCCGGGGCGTGGCGACGCCGGCGGCGGCGGGGAGGGCGAGCTGGCTGTCGGGCGCGCGGTGGGCGCCGCGGAGCGAGTTTTGGAGGAAGAGGCGAAGGCCGGCGGCGGCGCGGCCTCCATTGTGCCGGAGGTGCGCGGCGAGGGCGCGGCGCACGTGCGGGCCGAGGGCAGGGCAGGAGAGGAGCAGCGCGTCGAGGAAGGCGCGGACGTCCCCCTCGAACGCCTTCTCGAGCCGCTCGAGCTCGGCGTCGCACGCGGCGGCGCCGAGTGGCCGCACCGCGAGCAGCGCCTCGAGCGCACCAAGCACCGCCACGCGCGCGTCGCTCGCGCCCGCTCCGCCGCCGCCGCCGCCGCCGCCGCCGCCGCCGCGCCGGATCTCGCGTCGGATCTCGGGCCGCACCTCGGGCTGCCTCTCGGACCCGCCCTCGCGCGGGGTGCGCGCGAGGGCCATCCACGCCCGGAGGAGCTCGAGCGCGTTTCGCACAAAAGAGAGCGGCACTCGTGCCCCGCCCACGTCTCCCGCGACCGTCGCGGCGGCGGCGGGCGCGGTGGCGGCGGGCGCGGTGGCGGCGGGCGGGGCGGAGGCGCCGCCGCCCGCCGCCTCGTCAGGTGCGGTCTGGGAGGCGGATCGGCGCTGCTCCTCCCTCGCCCGCTCGCGGAAGCTGACGAGCTTGAAGTACGACGCGAGCAGCGACGCCGTGTGCGCCAGCGTCGTGCTGTCCACCCGCCCGTCCGCCCGCGCCCTGGCCGCCTCGGCGGTCCCGCCGCCGTCCTCGTCGAAGGCAGAGCCACCCTGGGCGGCCTTGGCCTTGCCGCGCCCGCCGCCGTCCGCCGACGCGGGACCGGCGCGCAGCCAGAGCGTGCTGAGCTGCTCCAGCGTACTCCGCAGCAGCCCGGCGCCGGCGGTGCCCTCGTCGGCCAGATCGTGCGGAGGCAGGCGTCCGTACGACTCGGACAGCATCCGCAGCACGCGCGCGTCGAAAAAGACGTCGGGCAGCTGCGCGTCTCCGCCGCCGCCGGAGCCGCCGCCGCGCGCGGCGGCCGTGTCGGCGGCCGCACCCCCGCGGAAGAAGCCGAGCGCGCCGGAACGGTGCGGCGCCTGATTCTTAATTCACTCACGCTCAACGAATTGCTCGTTGAGTCATGAGCCGGAGCGGCGCGGCGCCTCGGCGCGCTCGGCGGCGACGGCGCGGAGCTGGCGGATCGTCTCTGGGAGCAGCGCCGTGTGCGCGAGCCGCAGCGCCTCCGGTTCATTGATTCGCTGTGAACTCACTATGAACTCACTATGACTTTCACTATTGATTCAGCCGGCGCGCCTCCAGCACAGCCGCGCAGCGGTCGGCGGGTCCGTGCAGCAGCCACCACACGAGCCGGCGGACAAACGACTCGACCTCGGCCGCGGCGGCTGCGTACGGCAGCACGGCGGTGCGGGCGGAGGGGGTGGCGGGGTGGCGGGCGTAGAGCGCGAGGAAGCGGAGCTGGCGCCGCCACAGAGAGAGGCCGTCTGGGTGGACGAGCCCTGTCCGCGGACCGCCCGCCGCCTGCCGCCAGAGCGAATCAACTGTGAGTGAACTAGCCGCCTGCCGCCAGAGCGAGCAGGAATCCATTCACTATTAAGTACGAGTGAAACCAACTCTTAATTCGCGCCCCGCCTGCCGCCAGAGCGCCGTCCACGCCAGCGGCACCGACGCGCCGAACGAGGCGGCGAGCGGCGCCGCGCCGTCCGTGCCCGCCGCAAGCGCCGCCTCGAGGGCGAGCGTGCCTGTGGGACATGCCGCGGACATGTCGTGGACGCGTCCCGGACACACGTCTGCCTCGAGTGCGGACGGGCCCGAGCCGCCGTCAAAGGAGGCGCCGTCGAGCGGGCCCCCTCCCGCCGAAGCCCAACCGGAGGGGAGCGCCTCGATGAGCGCCCGCCTCCCGAGCGGCGGCGGGCGCCACACGCGCGCCGCCGGCCGGTCGAACGTGGCGAGCAGCTCGGCGGACTGGGCGCAGACCTCGGGCAGAGAGTGGTACGAGCAAGTGAGGCAGACGGCCTACCACACGGCCCACGGGACTGAACCCACGCCGGACTCGGCACTCTGGAGGTCTGGTACGAGGGCGCGAGTCAGACGGCCTGCACCACCTCGCGCAGCGCCTGCCACTCGGAAGGGGACGGCAGCTCGCCTAATACTCCTCCCCCCCTGTTGTCCACTCCACCCCTCCACTCCTAGCGGCCCCGAGAGAGCAGCTCGCCTCCCGCGCCGCCGGCGCACCCGTCCTCGCCGCCGCCCTCGCCCCCCGGGCGGCGGGCACTGTCTCCGCCCACCGACACGACGAGACCTGTGCCGGGCCGTGAGCCGGGCCGCGAGAGCCGGCCGCTCCCGCCTCCTCCGAGCGAGAGGGTGGAGGATCGCTCGCTGGAGCGGCGCTCGGAGGCGGGCGAGAAGGCGAGGTTGCCGAACCCGCCCTCTGTGTGGCGTGCGTGCTCCGGCCCGAGCAGCGTGTCGAGAGCGAAGGCGAAGAGGACGTACGCGATGCCTGGAGGGGCCAGGAGGCACGAGAGGTGTCTGTTGTGCGGCCGGCCCACACCTCGCACCCTCCGGCAAGGATGGGGAGGTGTGGGGAGGTGTGGGGAGGTGTGGGGAGGTGTGGGGAGGTGTGGGGAGGTATGGGGAGGTGTGGGGAGGTGTGGGGAGGTGTGGGGAGGTGTGGGGAGGTGTGGGGAGGTGTGGGGAGGTATGGGGAGGTGTGGGGAGGTGTGGGGAGGTGTGGGGAGGTGTGGGGAGGTGTGGGGAGGTGTGGGGAGGTGTGGGGAGAAGTGCCGCGCGCGCTGCACCGAGCGCGCGCTGCAGCTCGGAGGGCGACCCGCCGTCGCACGAGAGGAGCATGCGCGCGACGGCGAGGAGGGAGGGCGCCGCCAGCTGCGCGGGCCGCTTGCCTGTGCATCACTCACTTGAGAATTGAGTCTCAACTCAGAGAGGGCGCCGCCAGCCCGGCGGGCACGCTTGCCGATGAGTGCGCGCAAGCAGAGGGACGCGTGGTAGCAGAGGGACCGCTCCGTGCAGCGGATCAGGCCCGCCACGGCGCGAAGGTGCCCCTCCTGCGCCGCGCGCGCGTCCTGCCTCTGAGCTCGCGGCGGCGGGCGTGCCCTTGGCCGCCTTTTCCAACTACCCAGCGCCGTGGGCACCACTCGTCGAGGAGGCTGTTGGCCTTTCGGAGAACGTGCCATGGGCGTTTGTCTCTGGCGAGCAGGGTGTGCGCAAGCCGAGCGCCGAGGCGTACCGCGCCGCCTGCGCCGCCGTGGGCAGGGGCGCGGAGGACGTGATCTTCGTGGACGACAGTGCGACCAACGTGGCGGCGGCGGAGAGCTTTGGTATCCCTTCGATCCGCTTCCGAGGCGCCGAGGCGCTGAGACCGCAGCTGCGGCGGCTTCTAAACCACTGGTTGGGTAGTAGTCTAAGTTCTGAGCCTCGCGGCTTAACGGGTCTAAGTGTGGCTAGCCACGCTGGAGTGCTTACGCGGTCTAAGATCAGCGGGAGCCTCTTACACCGGCTAAGTCGGCCATGGCACCCGATATACGGCGCTCGCGCCCAAATTTTCTTCGCCTGCGCGGCGGGCGATCGATCCTCCTCATGCTCAGCAATCGCCGCCTCAGCATCCTCCTCTTCCGATTCTCGTTGCTGCTTCTTGAGCGCACTTCGGCGACATCTAGCCAAATAGTTCTCACAAATAGCCTCAAGCTCAAACAAACGCATGTCAGAGAAGCCTGTGTATGCTGGTCCTCTTTGAACGATCCGCGCGTGAGGTAGCATAGGGCCTTGTTGGCAGCAGCCAGCTTGTTGCGCTGCTTCGTTGCGATGAGCTGATTGGGATCGCAGAAGTGCATGCCAAGCACCGCCACGATCTTGAAGCAGAACACATCGCAACCGCATCGTCCGCACTGCCATCGGCATGCCGCGCCCGCCGCTTCGCCGCAGCCGCCTTAAGGCACGCATAGCGGCAGCACATGGTACGGTGCGCGTACTTGAGCAGGCGTTGCGCGCCGCAAGTAGCGCACTGGCCCTGGGAGACGGCGATATGGCGTCGTGCGCGGCATACGCTGGTCGGGACCGCGTCCAGGTATTTTTCGGGTAAACCTGGACTTTTGCAGGTATACCCGGGTTTTACCCGGAGTTGGCCTCGTGTCGTCTAAGTTCATGGCCCCCGGCCTTCCAGCGTCTAAGTCTGAGCCCGGCTCCGTGCGGGGGCTAAGTTGAGCGCTCGCTCGCTGCAGAGGCTAAGTGTAGAGCGACCCTCTATCCCTACTACCCAACCATTTCTAAACCTACCTCTAGAGGGCATCCAATTCTCGGTGAGGGGGAGCGGACCACCTTAAAAACATCACAGCACATCAAACCTTGTACTAGTATATGTGGTAGAACGGTGCTGTGCTGCGCTGCGCGGTACTGCTGTCTCTGCTTGAACGAGACCGAGAAGCGACACAGGCTGTGTATATTTTCTCGAAAAATGTCGCCCATGGCATTGCGGCAATGCGTATATAAGCGCGGTATAGTGTGTATGTGTCGTGTGGGGCCGTGACCCTCCCGACCCGTAATCGACACGGTAACTTTAGGTGCCCGCCTCACTGGTGAGCCGGAAGGTGAGCGCCTCCTTCTCGAGCCCCTTGACCATGGCGCCGAGCGATCCCGACGGGGCGTACAATGCGACGATGCGGATCTGCTGCCCCTGCGCCGTCGTGGCCTCGAGCACGACCG